CTCCTCCTCCTCCTCCTCCTCCTCCTCCTCGTCCTCGTCCTCCTCTTCCTTCTCGTCCTCCTCGTCCTCCTCGTCCTCCTCCTCCCTGGCAGGCAGTGCCCCCTGAGAAGGAGCTGCGCCCTGATGCTCCCTGAGAGGAGCGGCGCCTGTGCGCTCCCTAAAAGGAACAGCGCCGACATGTTCCCCGATAGGCGCGGCGCCCGCGACTCCCCGAGAGCAGCTGCGCCCGAGCGCTCGCCGATACGAGCGGCGCCCAGGGCCTCTGAAGCGTCGTTGCGAGATGCTCCCTCACGGGAGCGGTGGGTTTCTTGATGGGAGGTGCGCCAAGAGTGCCCCCTGACGGGAGCGGCGCCTTCCGAACACGGTTGGAGAGGCGTGCGCTCGTGGAGCCGTTGTTGCGGTCTGCCCGCCCTCGGCGCCCTCTGCGGTGTTCGCGTGCGCCTTGTCTTGGCTGGGTGCCTCGGGGGTGAGACCCTGGAATCGCCAGCCAGGCAGCGCTTTTATCTTGCCCGCTGCTGGCGCACAGGCGCCTGCCATTCAGCAGGCAGCGGGCCGCAGTGGCGTAGTGATGCTGTGCCTCCGGGTGCCACTGTCGGGCCCTGGGGCTGTCAAACACGCATCCAGGGTGAAACATTGCACCACATGGACCTTGGGACGGGTCGGGCGATCGACTTTGAATGGAGTTGCTTCTCTCCCCCCCCTCTTGACCGATTTTCTCGGGGCCGAACCAGTTCAGACGCCTTGGCCGCCTCCAAGGCGGGGGGGGGGCAAGGCCCATTCCGATCCGATCGATCCGATTCGACGCCGATTCCGGCCAGTCTGAGACGACTCGAGCCCGACAGTCCGGCGATCCGATGCGGACCGATGACTGCACGGCAGTGCTGTGCATCTTGGCTCGGGCCGGGCGAAAGGGGGGGATTGGGAAATGGGGGGTTGCGAAATCTGCTGCATGCAGCTGGTTTCGGCCCCACCGAGGGGCCCATTCCTCGATACATGGGCGCCTCCCGGCGCCGGGAGGCGCCGGGAAAATCAGCTACGTGAGCTGATTCTCAAACCCCCCCTTTGCTATCCCCCCCTTTCGCCCGGCCCGATTGGCGCAGCCGACCCGATTCGATTTCGACTCCGTGCCGAGACGGCCCGATCCGGCGTACGCTTTGCTTCGGTCGAAAGTCGATGCTGGCTGGCCTTGGGGGGGGCGGAGGCGCACCCCCGGGTCGGCCAGCATCGAGTCGGGTGTGCCTTTGTCGCGCTCTGTGCGCCAGCTCGCGCCATTTGCAGGGTTCACGCCCTGGGTGGGCGGGGGCGCCCCCCGAGGGTCAGCCGGCGGGCGGGAGCTCGGGGTGTGCCTTGGGCGAGCTGTGTGCGCCAGCTCGTGCAACCTGCAGGGCGCGCGCCGCGTGGGCGTGGCGGCGACACTGGCGCCAGCGTTCGAGCTCGAGGGCCACTGGCGGCCCGAGCCACGCCAACATTGAACGACCACTGTTGTTGGATAGCGGAGGACTTTCAAGATTGATCGGTATAGTGGGTGTTAAGAATTATTGGCGAGCCAGATGGTCTGAGCGGGCTCCTCCCTCTTCGCCATCTCGCGCTGCCATCTCGTATTATGCTCTTTCTCGCCTTCGTGCCTCAATTCGCTTTCAGTGCACCCCATCGTTCCATCGTTCGCTGACCGGCGTCTCACTGTCTTTCACCATGTGGCGTCCGCGGGCTTCAAAAGGTAAAAGACCGGCGCCCACGTCACTACAGGAGCCGGCCGTACCTACGGTCCCAAGCGCACGCCTTCACCCCACTTTCTCTCTCCGAGCAGCCTTAGGGACGGAGCCAGACGAAATTGTTCAAAAGTTACGATGCGCCTTCCCTCCTCCGATATTCCTCCCTTCCCTTACCCCGTCAACCCCGCGTCCTGTTGAGATGTTTAGCTCGGCCTCAGGGACGTGGGAATGACTGCCCTCTTCATTCCTCCCCCTTTTCGCCTCCTGCTGCGCCGTGTCTCCTTCCTGCGATTGAACCCATAGTCCTCGACGTTCGTGCTAACTTTACAGCCTCAAACAGGCTTGACCTCCCCCCGAAGCCCTTGTTGCTACCCTCATCAGCGACACACACACACACGACGTGTTCTCCAGCGGGCTGCTACGGTGGAATATGGTCGGTAGCGTCGCTTCCAGTTAGGCTGTGGATTCAGAAAAGTGTTATGGAGGCGCACATACACACAATGTCTCTCTCACACAGACGCGCAGTCAAGCACACACACACACACACACGAGCAGTCGAATTGCCTGTGCAGGTTTCAGGCAGTTGGTCACGTGGCGGCCGGAATTGCGCCCCCAGCAGAGCGACACCCCCACTTACACAAACAAACACACACACACACGCGCACACACACAGACACACACACACACACACACACACACACACACACACACACACACGCATACACACAAACGCACAAACACACACACACACACACACACACACACACACACACACACGCCCTGTGTCTCTCTTTCTCTGTGTGTGTCTCTCTCTCTCTCTCTCTCTTTCTGGGTCTCGTTCCCGCGCTCACGCACTTTTGCCGCGGCGGCCAAACGCCTCGCGTCGCGGCCGCCACGGTGGGGTGAGTGCACGCGGCAGGCGGAGAAGATGAGATAGCCCAGGAGAGGCGGAGGCCCGCGCGACGAGAGCGATAACGGACGCGGAGCTCTCTCCCTCTCTGACACACGCACACACACAGTTTTCCTCCGACGCGCCGGTGAGGACCAGCCAGAGGTGCCAGCTCCAGGTATGCCAGCAACAATGTGAAGCGCGCGGCCAGGTTGAAGCTTCCAGGAGTGCACAGCGACCAAGCCAGGCCATAGAAAACCAGGTGATGCAGGACAGGATGGCAAGTCCGCCGACCCTGTCGGCGTGTGGAAGAGGCTGTTCCGTTTGACTCGTCGTCGTCGTCGTGGTCGTTGTCGTCGTCGAGCGCGCCAGCCACAGCGAAATTGAGCAACGTCGCAGTGGAGTCGAAGGGAAGCCCCTTCCCTTTGATCCCTTCCCCGCCTGGGGGGGGGGTCCCGAGGAAGTCCCGGGTCAGATACGACTCACCCCCGGGCGGTTCGGGGACCCAGAAAAGCCCCAAGACGCGGCAAAAAATGCCCCAAAATGCCCCCAAGACGGTCCTCGAGGGCCCCGAATCGCCGAAGTATCGGTCCAAGTCGCCAGAGTAGCTTCCAGACGACTCAGAAGGTTTTCAAAACGTCTCAAGAGACCTCCAAGAGGACTTCAAAGAGGGCACCAAGGAACAGCAATCATCGATTTCCCTTAGCTTTTTGTTGACAGATGTCTGCATTCTCGCCTTGTCAGCTCCCCGACGCTCAAAGACAGGCCAAGAGGCCCCCAAGACTGCCCCAAGATGGCCAAGGAGGGATCCAAGAGAGCCCCAAAACGACCCAAGAGGGGCCCAAAATCATCCAAGAGGCTTCCAAGACAATCGAAGAGGCTCCCAAGACGGTTGTAAGATGGAACCCAGACGGGGGACCCGAACGGACATGTCGAGCCCTCGGCTTGAAAAGCTCTCAGGAGACCCCCAGAGGCCCCTCAGAAGCCCCCCAAGAAGCCCCAAGAGGCCCCCAAGAGACCCCCAGGAAGCCCCAGGAGGCCCCCACGAGGCTCCCAAGCGGCCCCCAAGAGCTTCCCAAGAGGCCCCCAAACTACCCCCAAGAGGCCCCCCAGAGCTGCGTCGTTGTGGTCGTGGTTGCCGCCGCCATGCAGGGTCGGCGGCACCGGCCGCAAGGCCTTCGCAATTACCCGATAGCGCACCCATGTGTTTCTAACACGGGGCAGCTGTGCGAAGGACCGCTCAAAACAAACTGACAGGATGAAAGACGCGCAATTCGCAGATCCCTGGCGAGCCAAAAGCCAACGAAAGTGGCGACAGTTGGACGGTTCGCAGCCCGCCAGGGCCCGCTGGACCTCCCAGAAGCCCACGAAAGTGGCAACAGTTGCGCGGTTCGCAGCCCCCCAGGGAGCCGCGGGATCTCCGAAGACCCGCTGGACCTCCCAGGAGCCCACGAAGGTGGCGCCAGTTGCGCGGGTCGCAGCCCCCCAGGGAGCCACGAGGTCTCGGCAGATCCGCGTGGACCAAGGTTCCGCTGGACCTCCCAGGAGCCCACGAAGGTGGCGACAGTTGCGCGGTTCGCAGCCCCCCAGGGAGCCGCGAGGTCTCGGCAGATCCGCGTGGGCCAACGCTCCGCCAGACCTCCCAGGAGCTCACGAAAGTGGCGAGAGTTGCCCGGCTCGCAGCCCCGCAAGGAGCCGCGATGTCTCGGCAGATCTGCGTAGACCTCCATTCCGCTGGACCTTCCAAAAGCCCACGAAAGCAGATGGGGCAGGAGGAGGAGGAGGAGGAAGAGGAGGAGGTGGAGGAGGAGGAGGAGGAGGAGGGGGAGGAGGATGAGGAGGAGGAGGAGGACGACGAGGACGAGGACGAGGACGAGGAGGAGGAGGAGGAGAAGGAAGAAGAAGAAGAAGAAGAAGGAGGAGGAGGAGGAGGCAGGAGTGGGAGGAGGAAGGAGGGAGGTCGGGAGGAAGGAAGGAGGAGGTGGGGCCCACTGCTCTATTCAGAACGAGACCCCCACCAAGGGAGGGCTGGGAAGGGCAAGAGCAACCGGCCAGAGACGACGACAAGAAATTCCAGCGCAACGTCTCTCCCCTCGTTCTTCCCCCGCCCAACTCGTTGCTCCCTCTTGGCTGGCACCGGGAGCGAGGCCATGATGGGGTACACCAGTTCTGCGGCAGGCTGGCTGCTGACAGGCTCAGGATATGAAGGGGACGGCGCGGAGGACGTTGGACGCACCTTGGAGCCATTGACGAGAGCCCTACTGAACGTCAGGCTGGCAAGCTTCGGCTGGCGGCGTATCGGTGCTAAGCTCAGAGCTGTGATTGTCGTCACTGGCCACAGCTCGTGCTGCGAGCAGGTGGGGTCGGACGGGGACTCTTCGCGTCGCCGGCGGCGCGAGGTGTATGCCGATGAGAACGTGTTCTTCATATCGACAGCACCGCACCA